GAGGGCAACCCGAGCAGAAGGAACTTCACAAGACAAATCTCAGAGGCTGGCAAGTCCATGGTTTACCCAACAGAAGGGCCAGGCATTTGCTGTTGTTACCAGAGAGAATGGGCCAACTGAGCGGCATAATGGAGTTGGGGAGACATAGGTGATGAAGCTGAAAAGGAGGTGGGTTTCAGATTAAAAAGAGCAATACAGAAGTTTCTACCACAAAAGTCAGTCAGAGCTGCTGGTAAAGGTAGGGGTGCAGACCCACAATTCCACCTGGCTGGAGCACACAACCCCACAACAGAGGCACCCTTAGGTGGTGAGAGACAGAGTCAAAAAAATGCACTGCCGTGGCAGAGGAGAGGGGCAGGGGAGTTTTGGAACGACGAGACCAGGCGTAGTGTAGAAGGCTAAGCTGTGAGCCCAGGTCGGGGAGGCCTGGGGAGAGACAAGCTTGGGAGCAGGACGCTAGAGAGTGTGACAGGAGCTGGAGGGGCCCAGGATGTGCAGAGGGAGGGACACGGAGAGGACGGGACGGCTTAGCCTTGGAGCAATGTCAAGTACAGAGCTGGATGGGGAAGGGTACGTGAGACAGAAGGGGACTCCAGGTAGGATGGTGGTGGTGTTGACCGTAACAGGGCAGGTGATGTGTGTCCAGAACTCAGGAGAGGGGTCAGGGCTAGGATGCAGATTTGCAACTGATAATTAGAGTAAAATCAGCCGCCACAGAAGGGAAAGTCACTGTGGGTAGAATTCAAGAGCCCCCTAAATATTTAGTGTGGGCTGAGCTGTCCTAGGCTCTGATCTAGGAGCTGAGGACAGAGTGGCGGGGAAAAGAACCCTGGGAAGTGTACATTCTGGTGAGAGAAGACAGACGAACAGTGCTAACCCTACAGAGACAACAAAGCAGGAGCAGGGCCTCAGGGAATGTGTCAGGAGATGCGGGTCATTTTCTATCAATGGTCAGGGAAGGTCTCGCTGAGACGATGACATTCAAGCAGAGACTGGAAGTAAGGGAAGCGCAGACCTAGCAGATGACTGAGGGAAGAGCATCCCAGGAGGAAGGACCCCCAGTGGCAAAGGCCCATGCTTAGGATGATGGAGAAAGAGCAAGGGGTCCAGCAAGCCAGAAGGGCATGTGCAGTAGGGAGAGTGACAGAGAGACAGCAGGAGAAAGGTGTACCAGGCGGGGGCAGGACATGCTGCAGAGTCTCACGGGCCACGATAAGCACTCTGGCTTTTGCTCGCAGAGGACCCGGGAGCAGAGAAGTGACATGTTTGAACTGTGGTATTTCAAGGGACCGCTCTGGCTGCTGTGATGGGAATGAACTGTATGGGGCAAGAGCAGAAGCAGGGAGAGCAGTTAGGATGCTCTTGCCTTCATCCAGGTGACAGATGTGGTGTGGTCCAGGGTCTGGGATGCAGGTGGTGAGGATACATTGGATGCTAGATGCATTTTGAGCGTAGAATCAATAGCATTTGTTGTTAACGGATGTACCAGGAGGAAGAAGGATGGGGAAGGGGATAGAAAAGGGGGGGAGGTAAGGAGGAAGAGGAAGAGAATCACAGATGACTCCAAGATTTGGGGGGGGGGGCGATGAACAACTGGAAGGATGGGGTGGCTGTAAACTGCTCTGGTCTGAGATGACACAGACGAAGGAGACAAGGTGGGGAGGGCAGCTGAGGAAGTGGTTTGGCACGTGTTGAGTAAGGATGTGTATTAGACATCCACATGGAGACGGAGAGGAGGAGCTGGACGCGTGAGTGCAAGGTTTTGGGAATCACCAGTGTACAGACGCAGCTGAAAGCCTTGTGACTGGATGAGATCACTGGTGTGGCTGGGAACAAGAGAAGAGGCCTGAGCACTGAGCCCATGGATAAAACTTAAGAGGACAGGGGAGGGTCATCATGAGATGAAAACAAAGCAGTCAGAGGCACACAAACAAGAGTGGCCTCCAAGAATCAAGACAGGTCCGAGTTTTACACAGCCAGAAAACGGGAGGAAAACTCTTCCTCCTACACCCCCAGCCAAAATTATCCCCCAGATGTTTGAATCCTTAGCCATAAAGTCTAATTAAAAAACAAAACAACAAATAAAGACTTACTGGAGTTTACTACTGAAACTGCAAATAACTCTACTGGGGGGACTCTCAAATTCATCCATGACGGGAATAAATTAGGATGCTGGCTTCCTCACACTGAATTCAGACAAGTTGCTCTGGGGAACCACTGATGGGCGAACGGGTGGTAATTAGGGAGCACTGGGTAATAATTTTAGTAGTTAGCATTTACACGTATTCTGTGCTAGGACACTTGTTGGCATTTTACATTCATAGCGCTCATGTAGCCCTAAGAATATCCTATGATTATTTATTCCCATTTCACAAACCATGCAAGTGAGGCCTAGTGAGGCTAGAACATTTGTTCACCGTCACAGAGTAGGCTGGAAGGTAGGACAGGCCAAGAGGCAGGTGCCAAAGACTTTCAAGTAGCAGGAGACCTTTGGATGGTGTGGTTCTCAAGACTGACGTCATCGGCGGCAGACAGCAGCTACCTGAGGTGAAGGCTGCCCTTGGAGGGCTCTCCTGAGAGCCTTACCACCCTCTCTACAATCTTGTTTCTCTGGGGGGGAAAAAAGATACAGGGGAACCTCTAGAACACAATGTGCTCACAACTCCGAGGGAAAGAGGGGCACCCTGCATCTCCAGAGAAGTGGAGAAAGTTCAATAGCAGCTATGGGATGACGGATCAGGCAGAATGAATTCATACGTGCAATGCTGGAGCTAAATATTATTTCTAAATTAATACAGCCACTTCTGTTGAAGATTTGGACATGGTGGCAGTAACATGTTTCATTTGATCACTGGCTTTCAGAGAACAAAAATGTGCAAACACACAGTAGGAAGGCTATAGTCTGTCTTCACTGGAGTTACCGTGGTTTTAACTTAAAAGATATTAGATATTCTTTAAAAGTTGTGTTAAGATATATTTACAACACAGGGAATAGAGTCAAGATTTTATAATAACTATAAATGGAGTATAACCTTTAAAAATTATGAATCACTATATTGTACACTGTGTAACTTACATAATATTGTACATCAACTATGCTTCCAAAAAAAAAGATACCAGATATTCTTTAAAAGTTGTGTTGCTATATAGTATCTTAGACCATTCTTAAAAATGTGCCTGTAAGGAGACTAATTTTTGACCTGTTTATAAACACATTCTGTTGATACTGTTTCCAGCAGCCCACCAGTATCCAATGGTCCAGAGGTCCAGATTTAACACCTTGAAAACAGATACCAGGTAATAGCAATTACAACACACCTTTGAAAACAAAGACACACATGATTTCATTCTGCTACAATGTGCCAAAACCATTCTTGTTTTGACAGTAAAACGCTCTTAGCATCTCATAACGAAAGTGAAAATATTAAAAATAAAAAAAACCCAACAGACTCACTGTATCTTACCCACCCCCAACTTCTCTGTGCCCCCAGAAAAGACAATGACTCCAAGTGTCAGTTCTTGTAGATGGGTGCTAATTCCAACAGGAAGAAAGGAATGAGCTTGTCTCCCTAAGAAAAGATGAATATCACTTTTTAAAATTCTTGCAGGTATTTTACGCAAGGCTTTTAAAAACCAGATTTGCGGGCTTCCCTGGTGGCTTAGTGGTTGAGAGTCTGCCTGCCGATGCAGGGAACACAGGTTCGTGCCCCGGTCCAGGAGGATCCCACATGCCGCGGAGTGGCTGGGCCCGTGCGCCATGGCCGCTGAGCCTGTGTGTCCGGAGCCTGTGCTCCGCAACGGCAGAGGCCAAAACAGTGAGAAGCCCGTGTAAGGCAAAAAAAAAAAACAACCACAAAAAACAAAAAAAAAAACCCCAAAACAAACAAACAAAAAACAGATTTGCGTCTACTGAGTAAATTTCACAGCAAACGGACACACCCATGCCTAACAATTAACCATTGAGTTACAGTGTCATCAAAAGTTCCATAAGCTCTTGGGACAACCTTGAAGTGTCATCCTTGGGCACCGGCCGGGTGACAGATACTACGAAGGGACTTTGCAATTCATCCATTTATTCATCTGTCAAAAATTTCTTGCACTCCTACTAGGTGCCAAACACAAGTTCCTGCTCACTGGCCCGTAACAGAGGGGGAAATGTTGGGGGATTGAGACAGATGGAAAAATAAACAGTTTCCTACACAGCACAACTCAGTAGCATTATGAACTTTATGAAGAAAAACAGGGAGGACATGAGTGAAGGGAGGGAGGAGGGCTGCTAACTTAGATGCGGCAGTCATGTAGGCATTTCTGAGAAGGTACCTGAGCTGTCCCCTGAGAAAGCTATAATTGGCCCCACTTTACCAACAAGGTGAGGCATGGCTCACCACTGAATCCCCAGCGCCTAGCAGGCGTGTGGGTCCACAGTAAGTGCTCAAGAAACAGCCGCCCAGTGGATGAGAAAGAATTCAAAGGCTGCATCGGTGGACGGGGGTAGGCGCCCGCTGTGCCACAGTAATACCACCTCCGCACAGTTCCCAGGGGGCTGGTCGACTTTCCCGAGCGCTGTCACGGCGAGGGTCGTGTCCCGAGTTCCCCAAGAGCCCCGTGGGGGTGACCAGGACAGCATCACTCGCTTCACTTTACAGCGAGGACCGATCACCCCCGCCAGGCCCAGCATCTCCCACTGCCCAGCCAGGATACCCGCCCGCCGGCGTTTCTTCTACGGAAGGAAAGAAAGAGGAAAAGTGCTGCCGAAACTTTGGCGACTGCGTGTTTTCTCTCCCGGCCGTGAGGCGAGGCCGCCCGACAGCCGCTCGCGTCGGCCCAAAACCCTCGGCTTCCGAGCTCGCGCGGCGGGGCCGGCGCCCGGGGCCCGGGGCTGGGGGCCGGGCCGCCCGAGCTCACCCGGCGCGGGGCGGGGGAGGTGGGCCCCGAGACAAAGCGGCGGCGCAGGCCCGGCGGGCGCACGGCGGCGGTGGCGAGCCCCGCGACCCACTCACCTGTCGAGCCAGAAGGTCCAGGGCGAGTGCAGCGGGATCCCACCCGGCTCGGGCCGCAGCTCCGAGAGCTGCTGCAGGCCCAGCGGCGGCGCGGTGGCGGTGGCGGCGGCGGCGGCGGCGGCGGCGCGGGGCCCCGGCAGTGCCCGGGCCCCGGAGGGGGGCGCGGCGGCCGGGGGCAACGCCATTTTCTCCGCCCCGCCTGCGAGACCGGCGGACGCACGGACCGCGGGGCGAGCAGCGGCTGAGTCACCCAGGCCCCCGCCCGCCCCGCCGCGGCCGCCCCGCCCCGCCCCGCGCGCGCCCCGCCCTGGCCCGGCCCTTCGCCCGCCCGGCCTTGGAGCCGCGCCGCCGGGCCGCCCGGGGCCGCCGAACAAAAGCACTGCCCACGCGAGTGGGGGGCCGATTCGGCGCAGGCACCGACCCAGCGTGCGGGGACTGACGGACTCGCGGGTCTGGGGGAGGGCAGAGCAGCGGCGGGGACGGATTCCAGGCTACAGGGGTGGGAGGAACAGAGGAAGGGTCAAGCGGTGGGTTCTGCAGCCAGACAGGCGGTGAGCAAGACGTATGGGTGGGCTACAGAAAGATGGAGGGATGGAGGGATGGATGGTCCAGTGGATGGAGTCTCAGACCCACATGGTGGGAGGGGAGGAGGGGTGGACAGACATACCAGCAGTCTGAAGGATGGGTGGGAAAGCTGGCAGATGGTAGGAGGAGGGGTGGAGGGATGGAAGGGCAGATGGAAGCACAGTTGGATGTGAGAGACAGATGCCCGGGGAACCGCTGGCCAAATGAATAGAGACTGGAGTGCCCAAGAGTGCAGAAAGAAAGGGTCAGACAGACAGAACCAGGACCACTGACCGGGGGATGAAGTTGTTACAGGTCAGTTTTGCATGTTTCCTAACTCAGCTGATTTGAAGGGGCCACCAGGTGCCCAGAGTGTGACCAACTTTAAATGAGGGTGCCCCAAATCAGCCCAAGGTCTCCACACTTGCCCCAAAGCACCCACAAGGAAGGAGGAGGAAACTGAGCATCAGGAACCCAGCCCTCCGCGGAGGAAGCCCCTATGGCCATTAAGATTCCTGAGCCTCCTAGCACCGCCCCTTGGCAAGTGTCTATCATTCTCTCTTTCAAAAGAAAAGGAGACGCATGAGGGCATGTGAACACACATGTCATAACTGGCGTGGACATGGACACCCTCCTTAAGCTTGAATTTCTGGATAGTGCCTCTCTGGCCTTTACCAGCTGTGGATGTAGAGTTCTGTCTCCTCAAAGATTTTCTCCGTGGCCTAGCATACATTCCGCTCTTAACCTGAGCAACTCTGGGAGGGACTAGAAGAGGAGCTACAAAACTAGATGGGTTCGGGGGTTTCACAGGCATTGTAAACACCTGTTATGAGTCCCAGGGTAGGTGCCTTCCCTAAAAGGTATTCAAGTTCTGCTAAAATGACCACAATGAAAACAAAACCGCTGCTTTGCTATCCCTGCTTCGAACATAATTTTTATACGACGTATGATGCTGCAAGCAGTGACATGTTTAAAAGCCCTTGCACCTCTGAGATACAAGGGGCGCTTTCGGTTAGATGCATTTTTGGGGTTGGTTAATTTCTCCTTTTATTTTTTCCAGAAAATGCATATATGGCAGTGTTTAAGCTATTCTGAGCACTTTATCCTTATTAACTCATTTAATCCTCACAAAATCCAATGAGGAAGATACTATTATTAGCACATTTAATAGATGAGAAGTGGAGAAGTTAAATTAACCCCAAGGTCACCCAGTTAGTGAGAGAGCCAGGATTGGAACATACGTATTCAGGCTCCAGAGTCTAGGCTTCTAACTGCCAGTCTCTACTGCCTCTCTAGCTGGAAAACTAACAGGTCCACATAGTAAAAATAAGAAAATGAATAGTAAGTCTCCTTCCCTCCCAAGGCTATCAGTCTTCTTGCCCAGAGGAAACCACTGTTAACAGTTTCCTTCCGGAAAAATGCAAGTATGCCTGTAAAGGCGTATATCTACAAATATAAATTGTATACCTACTACCTATATCTTTTATAAAGAAATAGAAACATTTTATACCACTGCCACACCTCCTTATCTTAACTGACATTATACATTTGAAGACTTTCATATCAAAACATATAAATCTACTTCTTTTTAAGGACTGCAAAGTAATCCATTCTAAAGAAGTAATGTAATTTAATTCACTAGCCCTCAAGATTTATTTGGTTTGCAGTCATTTTCTTTGATAAATAATGCTACCATAAGCATTTTTATATTTAATGTCTTTCCTCAACTGCACAAGTTTATTTCAGAATAAGTTTGGAGAAGAAGAATTTTTGCCTGTGTCTAAAATTGCTAAATTACATTGCTAAATTACCATGCAAATGGTTACATGCATTTATATATAATTGATTTATAAATAATGGCTGATTCTGAAATTTTATATTTACTTAGTGACATCTTTAATCTTTATATAAAATTCTAAGGCATTGGTAGAAAGGGAGTTTTTGCTTTCTATTGATTAGAACTAGTCAAACTGTCAAGTTTAGCTTCTCCCTTATGTTCTGTGACAATACTCTCAGCAAGAAAGGAATATTTTAAAAGTTTTATCTGCAGTTTCTAAAAGACAGTATGCACCACCTGATAAATTACTTTCAGAATTTAGAACTAGGAACAGTCACGCAATTTGTCTTCATTGAATATCAATTATGTACCTCCCTCTCTTTTTGCTTTGGCTTCCAGGATGCTCGAAATTACAGCTGCTGTTCCATCACAACATCAATATTAACCAATGAAAAAGCATTCCTATTGTTATGTTAATATATTCCTATTTTATGTTAATGATCCAGTTGCACGTGTGCATCTTATACCGTGAACCCCTCAAATCTATTTTGGAAGCAGGTGATATACAAAAAATATAAAATTTAAATCACCTTAAGATTAATAAAAGAAGTCAGGCAACATGACTAAGGTGAGAAGCAAGGAGGGAACAATGGGCATTACTTTCGTTCCCTTCCTGTCTGAAATGTGTAAGAGACTTAACTCTTGTTATCACTCTTCAGAATCACCCTTAGAAGATAATAAATGAGGAAAATTCCCCTCATCTTTCCCACTTTGCAACTGGGCAGCAGGAATTCCAATAATTTCAGGGTAGAAAGGGAACTTGGAGATTACCTACGCACACCCATCATATTACAAATGGAGAAACTGAGGCCCAGAGAGGTGAGGTGACTTACCCGAGGCCACAGCTCTAGGAAATAACACAGGCAGGACTAGAACGTGGGTAGCTTGAGATCCAGGCCAATGTGCTCTCCCACTGCGTAACACGCAACTCAGACAGCTTGGGGCGGCAGGAGGGAGGAAGAGAAGGTGACCCCACAGCCCCTAGCAATGAAAGCAACAAAAAAGACTTGAGGCACTCATAAATAATTAAGCAGTGAGCTGCAGCAGCTACTCCCCTCCCTTCCAGCATCCAGTCACCAAGGCAACTTGGGCAGGGTGCCTGCTGGTTGCCTAGTAACCGTGTGGTCTGCTCCCCTGACATGCTCCCTAGGCATCAAAAAGGATTTGAGAGCCGGAAAGAGCCTTAGACAGGGACCACTACTCCAACACCTTCATTTTCCAAATGGGTAAATAGAGGCCCAGAGAAGCCGAGTAACCTGCCCAAGGTCACACAGCTACTCAGAGGCACAGCCAGTCTCCATTTCTAGTTGCTTTCCATTGCACTATGGCTGCCTCAGGGACATTGCAGATGGAGGAGAGGAGATCTCTCCACAGTTCCTAGAACAAGAAAGTAAGATGGAGAGAGCAAGCAAGAAAGAGACGGAGACCTTCAGCTTTCATATGCAATTAACAGGAGCTGGTAATCCCATCGGCCAGACTTTCATCATCACCATGGCAACATGGGTGAGGTGGGTACTGGTTGCCTAGTAACAAGTGGTCCTCTGTCTTCCACTCACATCCGGCTCCCTGGGAGTCACAGGAACAGTTGAATGTTGGAGCTGGAAGGGAAGGCAGGGATCCGAACTCAGTCTCCTCCTTTGACTGAGGTTCAGGGCCACTGTACAAGGTGACACAGCCACAGAGCTAGCTAGTGACAGGGACTCGTTGGATAGCCAGCCTTTCCTGAATTCACTCTGTTTACTGCTGTCACAGCACTGTGGAAAGGGAAGCTTCACTCAGTAAAGACAAAACGTGGCAGGGGAATGGCAAGTGGTCCCCAAGAGGTATTTCTACTGCTCGTCTAAACGGTGGCAATTCTGCACACGAGGCCTGGCACACAAGGGGCACTCCACACAGTACGAAACACAGGGTCTCTAAAGTCAGAACATCTGAGTCAAAAGCCAGTTCTCCCCAAACCTGGAAAGCTTCTTATCCCTCTGCACCTCTGTCTCCACATCTAAGAAATGGGTATCCCGATAGTCCCTACCTCTCGAGATGTCATTAGGATTAAATGAGAAAACGTACACATCAAGCGCCTGGTATACAGTAAAGATGCAGTAAATATTAAGCAGTCATTTATTCCACTTTCAGTAAATATGTGTGGCATGTCTGCTATGTAAATGCCACTGTTCTAGGGTCTTGAGATTCATTAGCGAGCAATACAGACAAAAGAAATCCCTATTTCAGGAAGCACACTTTGCAGTGGAATGAATATTTGATATACACACACACACACACACACACAATACATATATCTATTTGTTTGTTGAATGGGTGGAGAAACTCATTGGCAATATGCTATGTTTATGTTACTGGGCTCCTTCTCTAAGACTGAAAAGTTTCCTGTTTACAGGGTGTGATGCTATAAATATGCAGGCCTGTCTTGTATGTGGAAACTCCCGACGTTTTCCTTTCTTTTAAAAGCTCGGAGGAAAAAGGAAGGCAGTGGCCACTAGATGGCAGACCTGTCTCCCCAGATACTGGGCCTGGAGGCACAGGCCAGGGGCACAGACTGTGACAGACACTTCCAGCAAAGGCAAGGGCTGCGGTTGGTCCGTCCCAGGGCAAGGCTAGGAGGAGTGGGGGAGACTAGAAACGCCTCTGGGACACTGGGGGTGTAAGGGGAGACTGTAGTGTGGTGTGAGAGTGATTGCTTTAGTGAGACTGAATCCTGCCTTCACCAAGACCTTGCCGCAGGTAAGCTGTGTGACCCGGGGAAGTTTTATTCACCTTGCTGAGCTCCAGATTTCTCCTGTGGAACAAAGAGGTAATAACAAGAGCTCCCTCTT